AAATATGTGTCTGATTTTATTAGAATGCGTCGCTGGAATTACATCGGTCACGTACTCAGAATGGACATACAGAGACTTCCCCACCAAGCCTTCATATGGTCACCAGAGGGTAAAAGAAAACAGGGAAGACCAAAAGAAACTCTCCGTAGAACCATCACAAGGGAGAGCTCAACCATAGGTCTCAGTCGCACTCAAGACCTACATCAAGTGGCAACGAACCGACAGACGTGGAAAGCTATGACCTCTGCCCTATGCGCCATCTTTGGCACAAGAGGAATAACTAACTAAGCTGCTATACCAACCAGCTGTGACTCGTAGACCTGTTTAAAACAAATTCCCAAACACAAAACCACCGAGTCGCTAGGAGAGCATGCTAGCCACTGGCCTACAGCGGCTCACTGCTGCTAGCGTGTTTAAAAACATGCCAGTTGTAGCTTTGAAGCAATTAAACCGGGCGGGCCCGCGCTAGGCGTCCCACGCCTCTTGACCTCTGGGTTCAGCCAGCGTGTGTCCAGGCTGTGTGTGGATAAAGTTTGTGCTGTGCAATGCGCCGAGATCAAAGAAATCCACCCCCCCCCTCCCACTCTCTCACCCACAACACCACAATCGCGTAACCAGAAGGCGCGCAACGGAGGGACAAAACCAAAAGCTGCCAGCCTGCATATCTTTGGTCTCTCTGCCGACACGCGTGGAACATTCGAAGGCAAACTTCAAACGTGTATTTTGGGAACTGTTTTAATTATACGTCTACTTTCAGTGCGGTTATTTACTGTTGTTGTTTTAATTTTCCATGGATTAAAGTGATCCTGTAACTTGCAATTTCTTATACTGTGTTAAAACCAATAGTGAAATATTTCAGCTACCTTAGTCATTATACTCTGTTAAAATTATAATATAAACCAGTGTACAACATGCAGCTATTATATATAAACAGTGATGAAAAATAAGTTATGCTTGTGACATATGTACACAAATTGTTAAAAAAAAATTAGAACAAATCAACCAATAAGGTGGAAAGTTTAAAGTCTTAGCCAACCGTTATTGTACTAAAGTAACGATGTTGCTTATTTTATAAGGTTTTATATTCCGTCTGTGAAAGATGGTCTATATCCAGTTTTGTCCTTTATAGGGCGAAATTTTTTGTTATTTGAAGCCCCAACCTGGCTTTTTCCAGGGGCCGCAATATAGTCAGGCCATAAATATGGCCAATTGTCTGAACGCGGTTTCTGGGACCTCTCCACGGCGATCCTCATCCGCATGGTGGCACTTTGTGTCATCGGGTGTTTATCGCTTGTGTGATGTCCTGGTGGGGCAGAAAGTCAGTCAGTCCGTCTGTCTTCCTCTGGGCCATTTGTCCAGTATTTTACTCGTAGCAGTCTACACTGTAAATCCAGTCTTGCGTCTCTGAAAATGTCCCTTAATTTATAGAATGGCCAGTGAAATGTTTTTAATGTGGATATCCAGAACAATAGGTGATATTACCTGGGGGGAAAAAAACGGCACTCTTCCGAATACCGGTCCTAAATTATTCACTGTTAAAAAAAAATCCCATCCAGGGTCTCACGAAGTCAAATAGTTAAAAATAAGGAAAAAGAACACTACGAATTACGCTTCACGTTATTATATAATTTCATGGGACCCAAACTCTTCGGTAGTACAGTTGTAAGTATTCCGCGCAACACGCGTGTGACCGGTGATCGATTCCCTGCCGGGTGATAATTTCCTTTTTTAGCCCTTAAAAGGATGGTTGACACGTTGTGGTTTACAGCTAGGCTGCGATATCTGCGCCTTTTCCCCAACATACGATTTCAGCAGTCCTAATTAGTCGCCATTTACAACTTTAATGAATCGAAAACTACTCCTTCCCACGTCGCTTAGCTGAACGTCTAAACATTGCTATCCATTGAGCAATAACGACAAAAGTGGAAACTGATGATGATGGCCTAAATGTTTTTCCTACATAACCTCTTGAGGCTGTCAAAGGGATGTTTTTTTTTGTGTGTAATGAATATTTTGGGACCGGTAATCGGAAGAATGCCCAAAAACCAAATGCAGAGGTTCTGGAAAGACTGCGGATGAAAAGAAAATTGAAATATTTTGGCCACATTAAAAGACATGATGCTCTAAAAAAAAAAAAAAAAAAACTACACTTAAATGAAAGGTCGACAGCAAGAAGTAGACAACGATTCAAGTTTGAGGACAAGAAATGAACAAACAGCAGTGTGAGAGGATGTACAACCAAGACAAAAGACGGATCATGTTGGAGATCCATTGCAGCCAACTGTCACTGTGGAGACGGTCACTTATAGTTTGTTTTCAGCACAACATGTATGCAACGTTTAAATGTTCGTGGTTTTGACAAAGCCGGACAAGTTGTTAATATCTGTGGGTGTGTTCCTGTTTTTTTTCTGTTCATGATACTTTACAACTGTTTGTTTTCTGCGGTGTTCTCACTTTTATTCCCGTTCTGGAAACTTAGAAACTACATTATTCCCTTTGTCTGTCTTTATAATATTATTATTGTCAAGTGGCTTGTGACTGTCGTTGGCGATCATAATTATATATATCTTGCTATCACAAACATGTATCGATTTCATTGTCACTTTCATCTCTTCCTAACATGACAAGCAAAAGACATCTTTAGACTTGATTTCCTTTACCCTCCCTCAACCCTTCTGAGGTCCATGCTTGTGGCGTTGCTAGTCATTTCTCTTCCCAGCCATTCTGACTAGTGTACTTTCACTCGTTGTCTATACACAGATATCCTCCATGCCATGATGCTTCAACTGTCCAGAATCTTCTCTCTTGGTTTCCCACTGTGCCTCATCCCTCTTGGTCTCCCACTGTACCTCCTCCCTCTTGGTCTCCCACTGTACCTCTTCCCTCTTGGTCTCCCACTGTACCTCCTCCCTCTTGATCTCCCACTGTACCTCCTCCCTCTTGATCTCCCACTGTACCTCTTCCTTCTTGATCTCCCACTGTACCTCCTCCCTCTTGGTCTCCCATTGTACCTCCTCCATCTTGGTCTCCTACTGTACCTCCTCCATCTTGGTCTCCCTGCTGTACCTCCTCCCTCTTGGTCTCCCACTATACCTCCTCCCTCTTGGTCTCCTACTGTACCTCCTCCCTCTTGGTCTTCCACTGTACCTCCTCCCTCTTGGTCTCCCTGCTGTACCTCCTCCCTCTTGGTCTCCCACTGTACCTCCTCCCTCTTGGTCTCCCACTGTACCTCCTCTCTCTTGGTCTCCCACTGTACCTCCTTCCTCTTGGTCTCCCACTGTACCTCTTCCTTCTTGATTTGCCCGGTTTGTCACATCGGTTGCCTTCTCGCAGTCTGGAGACAATCTAATGTAGACTGTCTTCTTCAAGACACTATTATCTGTCCATGGAGTTCATATTATCCGTCTGTTGAACTGCTCGCCTCTATATTCTCTTCTAATTAGTTAGTTGGGTTATCATTGCACTCCGGACATGTCCATAGGTGCTCAGATACTCCCAATATGAACCCTAGAGCTGGTGGCTAATAGTACCAGTCCGGTCTTGGTTAACAAGTCTTTTGATGTGCCTTGTGCAAGTCTTTTTGTTGTTGTTGCTATGCCGATGTTAAGTCCATAGTCTATCATTCTGGCGAGTGATGTGAATTCATTGCCTCCAAAGTCCTCCATACTTGTCATTTCTCGGAGGGTATTAATAAAATCAGCATGATTCATAGGTTGGCCGTAGGCTCTCTCTTCTAATATCGGCACACAAGCACAGTATCTCCCACCCCAATTGTTTTTCTGGAAGATTTAGACCCATTTACTCAAAGGAGTATGAAACATGACACACAACTAACAGTAGTGAGTGTAGTAACAGTTACAGATAAAATAACTGACAGATGTATTGTATATAATAATGCTGCACATTTTAAACACAAAAGCAGGGAGTTACATAACGGCAGATGTACAGACAGTTACAAGACACTGCTCAATTGTTACACACTACCGTATTTCAGGTTGTAAGACACCCAACTATTGCTTCACCCGAGTATCCTAGACAAGGGCGAAACATCTAACAGTTGTAACACACAACATTTTGCACTATTTTATAACTACAGTTACAAGAAACCCAACAATTGTTACACACAATTGGAAGTATTTTAGAAAGGTACAAGACACCCAACAATTGTTAAGACACCCATCAAATATTACGCACGACTGACAGTATTTCAGAAGTACATAGTTACGAGACAGCAAACAGTTGTTACACACAACTGTCAATAGTTCAGAAAGTTACAAGACATCACACAATTATTACATATTTGAGTTTTTTTTTAAAAAGTTAAAAACATCCAGTCATTGTTAAACTTGCAGTATTTCAGACAGGTACAAGACACCTAAAAACTATTACAAATAACTTGCAGTAATAATTCAGAACTACGGACATACATTTGGTACTCTGGCAGTTTTTTTTTTAGAAACAGTTACAAAAGACCGAACAATGTTTAGACAGTTACAAGATACCCAACAATTGTTACTCTGGCAGTACTTACAAAAAGTATCAATACAACCATTGTTACACACAACTGATGTACAGAAAATTATAAAACACCCAACATTTGTTACACTGGCAGTATTTCAGGAAGGTTTAAGGACACCCAACAGTTACTACTCTGGCAGCTTTTCGGGAACAAAGTTAAGACACCCAACAATTTTAGACAGTTACACGACATAAACATTTGTAACACTAGCAGTATTTCAAAAGGTTTGAAGACACGCAACAAACTAAACTGGCACTTGTAACAAAAGCCACCGGGGCGCATGACCATTGTTAACGACGATTTCATTGGCTGCGTCTGCTTTGATGCTGGCTGGTAATTGGCTGTAATTAGACAGGCAGCGCTCTGTGTGCACGGGCCGTCATGGCGGATTCAAACTCTGTGTCGTCGGCGCCGTCGTTGTGTTGTGTGTGAAATATTGCCCGTGTCGGGACCTTTTCTTGCCGTTGTCTGTGTAGAGACTATGCCACACATGAGTTTAGGAGGCTCTGAGGATTTTTATTCTACCGACGAGGTGAAGGTTTACAAAGATGAAGGGAATAAAGACGAGGAGAGATGTTCATCGGAAAATTTAAGCGAAGAGAAGTTGGTTCTGGTGACGGAATCCGAAGAGGTGAGTGCTTGTCGGTCTTCAAAGGAAACCCATCCTTTGATCGCCGTTTTTTATTTTAAAGTAGGCCTTAGTCTTCGTGTGGATGGTTTATCGTGTGTAGTTCGTGTGTGCTGTCAGTTTTATGTCTAGTTTATTCGTTGGAATAAATATATGTTGCTTATTTGCAGGGAAAGAGTTCTTCGTTACCTGGAAATTTTTCGGAGAAGTCGAACAACACCACAGATGATGGTAAGCGGCATGTTTTTCGTTTTCGTGATTAATTTACTCGGTTGGAATAATTTGTCATTTGTTTTAAACTCGTTATAATTATTTATTTTAGTGTTGAATTATGTTTGCTTTTACATTTCGAAAATCATAAACAACTCCACCCTTGATTTTAAATGTGATAAATCTATAATTTTTTGTTGTAAAGCCGTCTTTACTAGCTCGTTGCGGAGAAATGCAGGGGACACACACACAGCAAGGGAAAGAGGCACACTTTGAGGAAGTCTCTGACATGACAAGAGATACAGGAAGACCTGAAATATTTCATTATTGGAAACAGCTGAATACTATGTGACACGGGGAAGCTGCAGTTGAGGACAGATGGTAGGGTGATTTGTCTGGGTCTCCATTGGGCCTTTGCCCCCTTACGAGACAGTAGGTAAAATAAGAATAATATTAAATATTAGGCTCTCCTTTAAATAACGGTCGCTAGCTGGAAGGCGACGGTCGCTTAGTCAGAGTTCACTCCCTTGGCTGCAGTGCAAATACGGAGCGGACAAGTCACGAATTAAAAAATAAAGTGAGGTCGACATGCCTGCTAGAGCTAGACCACGCGCTGCGACTCACACTAGCGCCCGCGTTCTTCCGACGCACGACTTAGTGACCGCAGATGTGAGACCTGCGGATCTTTATGTCGTAATAAGCGATAAGCTTCCGTCGTTTCCGTGATGTGTCACCCTACCCCAAACCCTAAGCCTAACCCTAGGATGACAGGTAACTATATCATTTGTTTCGTTCCCTCTTTACCACTCCGTATTTGCACTGCAGCCAAGGGAGTGAACTCCGACTAAGCGACCGTCGCCTTCAAGCTAGCGACCGTTATTTAAAGGAGAGCCAAATATTATACTAAATATTACACAGCAGGCGTCTCCGTGGCCTACAGATTTAGCCATTTACTGTGGACTTGGGGGGTTCGTGCACGGACAGTTAAGTGATTTATGAGTCGGTTTTACCAAGATCCCTGATGGATTATTATCCAGCTAACAGTTCTGTATGTTGCGCTCTTGACTGTTGACTTAGCTGTTTTGTGGACGAGAGACCAAGCCCTATAGTATACAACCTGATGAGGTAAACTGGATCCTCTCAACATTAAATATTTAACAATTGCAGTGTCTGACAGATACTGGTATAGTTCATGATTGTAACACTTCTTCTTTGCTATAGACTCCAGCAGACATTTCTGTTTGTTTGTCCACCTCCAGATATTTGTCTTGTTTCAGAACCTGAGTGTTGTGCTTTTATCCATTTCAAACATCTGGTTTATTTGTATGCTGACTCTTGGTTGGTTCACTTTCTCTCAGTCACATGTACTCTGACGAACCAAACTTTTTGCTGCTGTTCTGTATGTGAAGAATGTTAAAGAAACATCTATTTGAGTAATGTAATATTTGTATTTTAAAAGTGTTAATAACCAGTATAGCTGTACCGAATAGTGATTTTCACTAGCCGAATTCGAATAGCAAGACCAGCTATTCTGCCGAATACAAATAGTGTATCATAATCATCATCAGGTGCCTTGCCAACTGGTGTTGGCGAATATGCCTCGCCACAATCTGCGATCTCCTGCAGCATGTATTAGTTTGTGTGCTGACACACCTCCATGCCATGCCACAAGGCTGTCAAGAATCTTCTCTCGTTGTCTTCCTCTATCCCTACTTCTACAGATCTTTCCAGCGGTCACCACATGCTCCATTTTCCCTCTTCTCATAACATGGCCAAAAATAATGACTGCCTCCTTCTGATGTCTTTGATTAATTGTCTTCGAGCTCCCGCTTCTTTCAAAACATTTTGGTTGCTTTTTTTTATCTGTCCAGGGTATTTTAAACATTGTTCTGTAAAACTACATCTCTGAGGCCTCAAGAAATTGTTTGGCCTGCTTACCGATTGTCCAGGACTCACAACGCAATCCCTTTAAATATAAGTGCTTACTTGACGAGGCTAACAGTTACTTTTGTACAGACCAAATTTTCCACTTTAAAATTGCAGCCAAAATGTAATCACAACTTTACTTATCCGCTGAACCTTCACGAATACAGATGGAGGATCGGTCGCACATCGAGATAAATACAAAGACAATTTTTAGCACGCTGCGGTTGGCATTTTATGCAGTATGATACACTTTGAGTGTGAAACAAGGGAAAAAACTCTTTTTGACAGTGGCGAGGAAAGACAATTTAAGTTTTAACTTTTAAATATCTTCGTGCCTTCTTTAATAATGTCACAATTTATAGCCGACTTTTCTTGATTTTTGTCGCGGCACCCCTGTCATACAAACCCATACGCACCCAGTTTAAGAACCTCTGCTGTAACGCCTCGGTCTAGTCAGCAGGCAAAGACCTTGAAAGCTGCTGTACCATGCAGCCGGGTCGCAGTTTCCCTCGCTATGACAGACTTAGGCAACAGCAACTATTGTGTTAATGAGAGAGTTATTTCAGTCCATCGCACTCAAAATGGGTGTAAAGTGACCACTATTTGTATTCGACCCGACCGCAAGTATTCGGCCAAATACCGAATAGTTATTAAATTCACTATTCGTCCTGAAGCGAATATTCAGTATAGCCCTAATAACTAGCTGTATTCCGCTTATTCTTTCCCTATAGATATTTCGACACACTTTTCATTTGATCTGTTGTTTTTGCATGTCTGTATTTTTATGCAAGAGATAACTAGGGAGAGTAACAGGTGACAGTTCTATCATTCTCTTTGCTGCAGCATCTGATAAACACTGCATAATGTTCGGTGATGTGTTAAGTGTATACTAGTCTGTTGCTTGTGCTGTTGCGTTCGTGTTGTAGATTACAGTTTATTGCAAAGGTCGTATGTATAGAACACTCTAGAGGATATTTGTATAGCTGTCTGGTTGAATGTCTAGATCATTGTCTTGGTTTTGTTTAAGGATAACCTCCCTTGGACACAGATATTCTCATAAATGTCTCAGTCTACCGTAGAGTACAGTGTCAGAACAGCAACAAACAATAGCACTGAACAGGGATACACATGTTTTTTTTGGGTGGTAAGCAGGCTCATACTTAACTTATGTGTAGTTATTTTATTTGGGCATGATGCGAACCACATCACCCATCTTGTACCGAATGGTCTTTGAAATATAGGTCTAGCCATGTATGTCCTATACGCCCAAGGGTGGGGAAAAGGGTCCTTTACTTACTTTACCATTTTATTTAGAGATTTAGTTAAAAAAAAAGGGGGGGTCTGTGTTTGTCCTTCTGCTTGGTTGGGGGAGGGGGGGTCTCTGCCTGTTGTAATTTGTGCTCATGTCTGTTCTGCACAGCTCACTGAGTTTTTTAGAATTATAAATCCGCTTGTTACAAAACATTTACCACACAAATGTGAGTCATAGATTGCACAAAGGGCTTTGATTGAGTCTGCCCTGAAGGCTTATGTCAAATAATAAGAAAATTACATTTTGAGACACATTGAAATCATTGAATAAAGATGAAAGCTGTGCTGGGGGAAGTCAGCATAGTAGGAAGTCAGGTACTGATGAATAGCTGCAGGGAACATGTAACAAACAGTATACAAATAAATAAATGGCTTTAAGCTGGAGAAAGGTAACAACTGAAATGTCTAGGGTTAAGGGAAAGTTATGGTCATTTTAGCTCGGGTGCCAGCATTCCCTGCGCTGTTTTTCTTCATGTGAGACTCCTGCCATAGAGGCAGCAGTGTTAATTGTCTGTATCGGCCTAAGCAGTGGTGGCAGGGGATCTTGAGGCTGGTCGACCTCTAAGGAAACCTAGCACTCATCAGCCAACTTATGGTGCCTGAGTCTGTTGAGAACTAACTGCAAAATAAGTATAAAGTCCACAAGGCCAGCCTCCTACTAAGTCCTGCTTGATTACATGATAGGGTCCAATTGACCAGTCATCCTACAAATAGGATCTTGGTGTTAAGCATAGGTTCACATGTCTTGAGAGATGGTCAAGTCCTGCTTGATTACATGATAGGGTCCCATGCTTCAACAACAGACTGTACACAAATAAGTCAGATCTGTGAAATGGATTTGCTTCAAATCACAAATCCTAGAGAACTAAGACAAAAGCCAGAAATGGACACACAGTTGAGACTTTCCTTTAGTGTTTTATAACTGGTGAATACTAGGAAACAAAAACATTTGAAGTCCACTATGTGCAATGATGGTAGTTCAAATGAAGAAACCTAAATGGAACTAAAGAGGGCCTCATTTGTCACAACAAGATTGAGCTCTGAAGGGAAAAGCAACATCAGCTTTCTTGTCAAGACCAGACTGTGCAGGTCAATTGTAGCAGCCATTCTCATACAGGGGTGTGACTTCTACTTCAGAAGATGCAGGCATTTCAGTACAAATGCTCTATAATATTTTTGCACATTTTAGGACATTTCTGCACATATGGATGCCTATGTTGGGTTCACAGAATAAATAAACACACCGACCATCAGCACCCACCTTTGTCCTCAGCGAAACAACGTGATCTCCACACAAACCATGGTACTCCCTGAAAACTTTCTTTCTGGAAACTTGAAAACAATTGAGATAAGACCCCCCCCCCCCCCCCCCCCCCCCCAAAAAAAAAAAAAAAAAATTGCAGGATTATTGATCATTAATGAGCAGACAGGATGCAGCATTTCCATGCTTGTTCAGCTTGCATAGGACAGAGTGCTGATCCGACTGCAGATGCTTCCACAGTGGCACATCATTTACTTCACAAGAGTCAGATGAGATGGAGCCCTCACCTACATGACAGTTTTGTAAACATCCACCACTAATACATAGATGTTCTCTGCCCCAAAGAAAAAGGCAAGATTAACAGTTTTGGTAACCTGCGATGGCCGGTGAATGGCTAATTAACAAGAGGTTTATATTCAGTCTGTTAGTGGAGATGCCTAGACTAGATTCCTCAGTCTGTCTATAGTCCCATAGAACCTGAGTGTCACTGTGCCACTGTGGTCAGGTCTTTCCATTTCTGACA